CTGATTTTATGACAACCAGGAGACTGAAAACTTGGCAGACCAGAGGAGAAAGGGTTTAGTGAGACTGTCACAAAGTCTGGCTTTGTGCTTGTTACACAAGCATGGATTTCACTTTGCTGACTGCTGAACACTGAGCTGAAAAGATGGCTTCATTCTGGAGTTGTCTGAATCCCACAGCTCTTTTTTGAGGTGCAGCCTTCAGAATAAACACCTGAGCCAAGGAAAAAGCCAGAGTCCCCACCAAGGGCAAGGGATTATTTTTCATTTCCAATGTGTTCTTGGAAATGTGTGAGCTAAAGGTTTTGGGTTTTTTGGTTTTTTTCAGGCCTTTTTCATTAAAAAAATCCATGAGAAAAGGCTCAGTGCTGATTCCAGAAGTGCTTTTTCCAATTACAGTTCAGCCTCTGCCAGTCCTTAAGTTCAACCTATGGGACTTCATCCCGTGAAGAAAAGGGTCTGACAACACAAAACAGGCTAAAAAACCCACAGCTCATAAATAATGTTCTGATCACTGCATGGTTTAGGGTGGAAGGGACCTTCAAAGCCCATCTAGTCCAACCCCCTGGCCATGGGATGGGACATCTTCAACTAGATCAGGTTGCCCAAAGCTCCATCTAACCTGGCCTTTTCAGTGATGACCAGTGACAGGACAAGGGGCACTGGGTGCAAACTGGAGCACAGGAGGTTCCCTGGGAATCTCAGGAAGAACTTCTTTGCTGTGAGAGTGCCAGAGCCCTGGGCCAGGCTGCCCAGAGAGGCTGTGGAGTCTCCTTCTCTGGAGACATTCCAACCCCCCTGGCCACGTTCCTGTGTGATGTGCTCTGGGTGCCCCTGCTCTGGCAGGGGGGTTGGGCTGGGGGAGCTTTCCAGGTCCCTTCCAACCCCTGGGATTGTGTGATTTTCCTGGAAAAATGTTTGCTGGCAAGCACATGGCAGCTGGTGGGTTTGCACCCCAAGCAGCAGCAGGTAACTCCTCCTGCCCCGCTGGACGCGCCGCCGCCCGGGGGGGTTCTCACCTGGGGCGTAGCCGGGGCTGCTGGTTGGATACATGTTGGGGTTGTAGGCTGGGGCAGCAGTGGGATAACCAGCTGGGTAACCTGGGATGAGGAAAAGAAGAAGAGAGTTTTTTAGTTTCAGCAACAGGGAGAAGAGGACAGCACCCCTGGGCAGTAATCATAGCATCCCAGACTGGTTTGGGTTGGAAGGGACGTCAAAGATCATCCAGTTCCAACCCCCTGCATGGGCAGGGACACCTCCCAGCAGCCCAGGCTGCTCCAAGCCCCATCCAACCTGCCCTTCAACACTGCCAGGGATGGGGCAGCCACAGCTTCCCTGGGCAACCTGGGCCAGGCTCTCCCCACCCTCACAGCACAGAATTTCCTCCTGATGTCTCATCTAAATCTCCAACCTGGCGCTCAATGATTCTGTGGTTCCCCTCTTCCAGTTTTAAGCCATTCAGTAATAAATTGCAACAAATAATAAACAGCAAAAAAAATCAGTAATAAACAACGTTGCTGAGCAAAGAGACTGTGGGCACAGCTGAGAGGTGAAGCACATCCTCAGCTGGCCAGGGCTATGAATGTGATCTACAGACTCAGACGTGACATTATCAATATTTCATCCTTATTCCTCTAGAAAACTAGGGCAATAACCAGAGCACAGAAAGCCTGAATATTCAATGTGCTCTGAAGAAAACAAGGAGGTAAATAAATCCACTGAATTCAGAACTCAGCTGCCAAAAGCCACCAGCTTTTCCTTGCCCATCTTGCAGCCATCACAGCTTGATCCCCAGAGGACTCTGCAGCCTACAGAGCAGAGCTCAGCACCCAACCCGAGTCCTTGGTGCTCAGCACCTCCATTAGCTGGAGCTTCTTGCTGAAGGGAAGGCAGAGACCTCAGCTGCAAACCTGCCAGCCCTTATATTCACTCATGGCTGCACAAGTGCCACCCCAGGGAGGGACCTGATTTACCTGCCAGGCCACCTGGAAGGAGCCAGCAGGGCAGCTCCTGCCCTGTGAAGCCACTTGAGGTTTTAAGGGGCACTTTTGAAAAGGTTGCAGAGCAACTTCAGTTTCCATCACCTTCCCTTGGATCGGTCATAGGGAGGTCAGGGGAAAACATCTGAGCAGGCAGCTGTGTGGAGGCTGGGAAACCAGTGTGGCCCCAAGTCCCTCTGGGCACCCACCCACGGCACAGACATCTCCCCCCAAACTCCTGCTTCATTAGAATCACAGAATTGCTGGGGTTGGAAAAGACCTTTGAGATCATC